CCCAGGTTCAAGCAATTCTCCTGCCTCAACCTCCCAAGTAGCTGGGACTATAGGCGCACACCACCACGCCCAGCTAATTTTTGTATTTTGGTGGAGACGGGGTTTCACTATGTTGGCCAGGATGGTCTAGATCTTGTGACCTCGTGATCCGCCCACCTCAGCCTCCCAAAGTGCTGGGATTACAGGTGTGAGCCACCGCGCCTGGCAATATGTCGACTATTGTTAAATAATAGTTAAAATAATACAGATTACTAAATTATTTCAGTACTTTTGTTACCTGATTATAATTGTTTTTGCTGAAATAGAAACAATATTATCAAGTGAACATCCTGTATGTCCCCAGCATCCTTAGTGGTTGAAACATTTTGTCCCTCCCTCCCCCATCTCATTTTCCATGTGAGGCTCCACATGACAATCCCATAACATGGTAATAGGCAGCGATGGTCTTGACTGTCTGTTTCTATTAACAGCTTTCATGTGGATGGATAAATCTGCTTTATGTCCTAACATTTCAGAGTGAAATGCCACAGCATTTTTTTTTTTTTTTTTTGAGATTATCGCTCTTGTTGAGCGGGCTGGAGTGTGATGGCGCGATCTTGGTTCACTGCAACCTCCTCCTCCCTGGTTCAAGTGATTCTCCTGCCTCAGTTTCCCAAGTAGCTGGGATTACAGGCTTGTGCCATCATGCCCAGCTAATTTTTGTAGTTTTAGTATAGAAAGGGTTTCACCATGTTGGCCAGGCTGGTCTCAAACTCCTGACCTCAGGTGATTTGCCTGCCGGCCTCCCAAAGTACTGGGATTACAGGCATGAGCCACGGTGCCCAGCCTTACAGCATTTTATAATCTTGCCCTTTCTCATCTTTTCAATCAAATGTGTTTCTACTCTGTTGTCATTTACCATTGTAATTACAAAATACTGAAAATTTCTGGTGGTTTATATATTTAGTGTTATAAGAACAATTTATTAACAATAGAAAATAAATATGTATTTTTAATTTATAACACAATAATAAATATATTTTACTTAATGTCAAGTTTTACTACTGCTTTTTTCCCAAACACGTTGGCATAGTATACGCGTTAAAGCTCAGCAATATAGAATCCAAAATGTAGGCCCCACAACTAAGGCTGAGATGATCACTTGGGGAGGGACTGCAAGCAGGGGTAAGGACCAGGTACCACTTGTCATTGTTTGGTGAGCTGCTTGTGTACATAATGGTCATCAGTCTTATTTATTACCCCAAACTGGCTTCTAAGGTGCTGAAGAATAATATAAAACAACCTTACTGAAAACATCAAACATGTACATCACAGTTTTTTGCCCTGAGTTTTAGTATAATGACCTCTGTCTTCAGTTTGTATTAATATACTATGAGAGACTATCCAAGCTTTTCAATTCTGAATAGTTGGTTTCAACTTGAAGTGGATGTCTTTGATGTCGTGTTAAAAACATTTGAGATGAATGACAATGGAAACACAATATCAAAACCTGTGGGATGCAGAAAAGCAACCTAAGAGGGAAGTTTAGAGCAAAAAATGCCTATATTGAAAAAGAAGAAAGACCCCAGGCCAGGTGCAGTGGCTCATTCCTCTAATCACGGCACTTTGGGAAGCTGAAGCGGGAGGATCCCTTGAGCCCATGAGTTCAAGACCAGTCTGGGCAACATAGGGAGACCCTGTTTCTACAAAAAATAAAAAGATTAGCCCAGCATGGTGGCACATGCATGTGGTCCCAGCTACTTGGGAGGCTGAGATGGGAGGACTGCTTGAGCTGGGAAGGACGAAGCTCTAGTGAGCTGTGATCACACCCCTGCACTCCAGGCTGGGCAACAGAGTAAGACTCTGTCTCAAAAAAAATAAAAAAGGGGCCGGGTGCGGTGGCTCAAGCCTGTAATCCCAGCACTTTGGGAGGCCGAGGCGGGTGGACGAGGTCAAGAGATCGAGACCATCCTGGTCAACATGGTGAAACCCCGTCTCTACTAAAAATACAAAAAATTAGCTGGGCATGGTGGC